TACTACACAACACACACACACACACACACACACACACACACACACACACACACACACACACACACACACACACACACACACACACACACACACACACATACATGCATACAGACAGACATACGGACATCATTGCGAAAACATTCAGGGAAGCTTCCTAGGACCTCAAAACGTCGAGATGTGATGAAAACTCGATTTTCGAAAAACGAGGTAAAACCAATAACTTCCCTATTTTTGAAAATTTTCAATTTTCTTAGCGGGAAGTTAAAAAAGTTAAAAGTTTTCTCACTTACCGACAAATGATTAGGTCATGCCATTCGTTCCACGATGACCGTCAATTTAACGGTAATTTTAAAGAAAAGGGCATAGCCGGATTAATATGGGAATTCTGCCCCCATGGCTTTTTGACTCATACTTAGGGGGTCGATTTGGTGTCGAATGAAAATAATTCACACCAATTTTTAGCTCTTTAACTCAAACGGTATTTGAGAATTTCAAAAAAACCTGTTTTTTCAAAATTATTTTTATTTTTATAGTAAAATTCGGAATTAATTAATGATGATTTTTTTCCTAATTCTTACGAGTCCAAAATATGAAATAGTATATTACATACCTAGGCCAGTAAAATAAGAAAAGTCTCAGATCACATGTAATTGTTGGCCGAGGCGAAGCCGAGGTTGACAAACATGTGATCTGAGGCTTTACTTTTTACTGGCCAAGGTGTGTATACTATTTTTCTGCTCGACGTAGCCGGAATGTGGCAACTTTGTTTAGCGCAGCGGCCAGAAAGTTGCCACTTTCCGGCCGGAGGGCAGAAAAAATCATATGATCATGATTCTCAAATAGAAAACCGATTTTTAACGGAGAAAAGAAAATTATTTTTTTTTTTTTCAGCCTTCTTGAAATATGTCACTCACTAAAATTCGTCAGAAAATGTCTTTTATACTCCTCTATACTCAGGAATTTTTTTGAATTTTTAGAAATGGTGGAACAATTAAAAAAAAAAATTAAAAACTCATTTTTTTTTTCAAAATCTTGCGTTTTAACAAACTTACATTTTTTTTTAGTACACACAAATACGTAGAAATTTTTTTTTTTACCAAAACATATCTTTGCAAAAGATAAACGGGAAGATTCAGTAGGTTAAAGTGATTAGAAGGGTTATTATTGATTCAAAAGACACTTAAAGGTAATACTTATATATTTTTTTGTAATACCAACCGCGAAACTTGGATTTTCGAGCTAAAGTTAGGCGGGGTAAAATGAATGATATCTGGCTATCTATAGTTAAGTCTACTTTTCACGCACACGTAAGGATGTGACATCTCTCTCTCCATCTGTCTCTACATTTCCGCATGGATTCTCAAAAGTACTATAGGATATTTAATTTCTCTTATTTCTATAATCGTCTACTAGGGAGAGTATGAGTTTGTTATTTATTTACGTGTGACAGTTCATAAATGAATAAAATTTTATTTGCATCCTCTCAAATCCGAGTTTCGCCGTTGCTATTACAAAAAATTTTGTTCGATACAAATCCGCAAAGGTTGGTATTTTGGTAATAAACTTGAAGTGATGACACTCGTCTGAGATTATAAATACATTCTCAACAAAACCTCGTACGTTTTATTTTATCTGGTCTCGCTTCGCTCGACCGATAACAACGTACTCGGTTTTGTTGAGAATGCACTATAATCTCAGCCTCGTGACGTCACTTCAAGCTTACCAAAATACCTACCACTGCGCATACGTATCGAAAATAACTATTTCATACTATTGGAAAATATTTTGAATTTTGATACAGAAAAAATAAAAATTTTAATGAAAATAATAATTAGACTAGTCTTCATCACTGTCTTCATTCACGAAGACAAAATGTTGTCAATATAAGTACTGAATTAATTAATGCGTTAATTGCTATTCAGACAATGACATCAACCATAAAGGCTTCTTTGTTTTTAGGTTATCTAAACAAGCGGAACCTTAGAAGAAATAATAAATGGATACAGAAAATCCCGATAGATGGCGTTATAATGTGCCAACTTGGTCATAATTTTGAAAAACATAGTTTTAACGTGATCGTTGTCTAGTATAAAGATTGAGAATATTTGTTAAGTAATGTAATTGTGAATTTTAAACAAAAATAAAATTTTCTACGTATTAATGTGTACTAAAAAAAAATGTAAGTTTGTTAAAACGCAAGATTTTGAAAAAAAAAAAATGAGTTTTTAATTTTTTTTTAATTGTTCCACCATTTCTAAAAATTCAAAAAAATTCCTGAGTATAGAGGAGTATAAAAGACATTTTCTGACAAATTTTAGTGAGTGAAATTATGTCACTGACATATTTCAAGAAGGCTGAAAAAAAAAAATAATTTTCTTTTCTCCGTTAAAAATCGGTTTTCTATTTGAGAATCATGATCATATGATTTTTTCATGTTTTGGACTCGTAAGAATTAGGAAAAAAATCATCATTAATTAATTCCGAATTTTACTATAAAAATAAAAATAATTTTGAAAAAACAGGTTTTTTTGAAATTCTCGAATACCGTTTGAGTTAAAGAGCTAAAAATTGGTGTGAATTATTTTCATTCGACACCAAATCGACCGCCTAAGTATGAGTCAAAAAAGCCATGGGGGCAGAATTCCCATATTAATCCGGCTATGCCCTTTGTTTCAGTGTACATAAGGTCATACTGATCCTATTTTAGAGTTGGAATTTATTTTACCGCGAAAATGATGATCTTTGTTCAAAGTTTCGGTTATCAAATTTTTTGAAGATTAAACAATGTTCATATACGCACTTTTTAAAAAAAATTAATAACATATTTATGCATAGATACAATGATTTGTATTGATTTTGAGAAAATGTTAGTTACATTGTATAACGTTTCAGGGAAAAACTCTTCTTCGGCAAGGAATTTCAGACCTCAAATTGGTAACGAGAAGATATGCTCGACGACAACAAAAATGGATAATGAATCGTTTCATAAAACGGATTGATCGACAAGTAATAATATTTTTCATAAAGAAATTTATATTTTAGTGATATTTATCACTAAGTAATTTATATGTTTTATAAATGTAACGTATGCCATTTGTTTCACATCAAGGTACCTCCCATATATGATTTGGATTGCACCAATATTGAGGAATGGAATTCTAAAGTCCTAGAATCAGCTGTTGAAATTATAAATGCCAAGTTAAGAGGTGATGTACCTACTCAAAAGCCTCTTAATGGAAGTAGCCTGAATGAAAAGTTTTCGGATAGCAGTAACGAAGAAAGTCATTGGTGTGAGGTAAAAATCCATTTTTTTTTTGTATATTTGCATAAGAATATTGCACAGTTATAGCATAATATACTTCATGTTCTTCCACAGATTTGTCAAAAAATATTGATTGGAGACTTGCAGTGGAAGTCTCACAAAAACGGTGCCAAACACAAAAAAATGGAAATAAAGAAACGGAAAGTTATGTCTCATCATATCAATGAAAATAAAATTTCTTTCATATTTTAAGGCCCTTAGTATTGGTATAATTATCACATCATATTTTTAATTGTCAGATGTGTATTTTTACTCATTATTACTGCATAAAATGATGAAATTAAAATTCTTAAATAGATTTAGATTTGATTGAACTTTCAAAAACTATATTAATATCATTTTAAAATACATGTTGATAACTCGTGTTTAGTTATTCAATAATAGAGAGTTCAGTTGTTATAATATCCGTACATGACGATTCTTGTACATTCGAATTATTTAAATAGAGAAGTTGTATGTTTTGTGATTTATCGTTTGTTTATAGTTGAGTGAAAAGTATTAAAAGATAAAATAAAAAAAAATATTTTAATATTTATTTTCCAAGTAATATTTAAAATCTATACTCAAACATTAGTGACGTCATTATATCGGTTGTACAATGTTACCGCCCGTTGAGTTGAAAAAACGTACTTGTCCATGCTGTCATCTAAAATAAAAATTTAAACATTATTTACATAATCACGGTTGTATTTTATATAAAATAAGTTGATAAATGTAAAAAAAAGTTTTTTTACGAACGTCAAAAAATTAATTATAAACATGATAATAATAATTGAAAACTGCGGCCAGGTTTCGACTGACGATATTGAATAAAATACTTCACGAAACCCGAAAGATTTTGATAAACGATTGGTGAGATAATAGCCACGAATAGCTGGATGAAAATTATAGCCCGGAACTGTGTTAATACACACTAGGCTTTCGTTTCCTAAGCATTATTTTGCACGCCTCACAGCGCGAGGCCCGTGAGGTTGTGCTTTATACTCGACTCGTCAAGGTCAAGCAATTTTGTGATCTTTGAATGCCTCTATCACAACCATATTACACTTATACAATAATATAAGTAAATATACCCCGAGAAAACACTTAAATTGAACCATCTTTTACTTTCTAAAATCATTTCATGTTGCTATATTGAAAAAAAAAACGTATTGAAAAAAATTTTACGTGGACGTCCGGATGTTACCCCATTTTGGATGTACCAACGATTACTCCCGAACAAATTGATATTTCAAGATCCGACCTTTTTTATTAGTTTAAGAATGTGATGAACTGGGTCCGTATTTCATATCAGCAGCCTAGGTTGCGTATTATTTTTTTAAATTGAATTTTCATTAAAATTTACTACGGTACAACCGTACAAAGACAAACGAAGGTTTCTTATTTGTCACGTGAAAACTATGGCGCTACTTGATCAAGCTAGATTTTTTTAGACTGCGTGCGCATATGACAAGAAAAAAGGGCGCCGATATTTAAAAAAAAAAATAAAAAATACTCTGTAAGAAATTACTTAATTATCTAACATACATACATACATACCATACCATACATACATACATACATACATACATACATACATACATACACACATACATACATACATACATACATACATACATACATAGTGACAACCTCGCGGGGATAGTCAGGGAAGCTTCCTGTGACCTTCAAACGTCGAGATCTGATGAAAACTCGATTTTTGCAAAACGGGGTGAAAATAATAACTTCCCGATTTTTTAAAATCTTCGATTTTTTTAGCGGGAAGTTAAAAATCGAAGATCATTTTACTAACCGACAAATGATGAGGTCGACTATTCATTCCACGATTACCGTGAATTTAAGGGTAATTTTTAGATAAAATTTTCTTCAGTGTACAATAATTACACGAATATAAGGTAAATGAGAATTTTGTTGAATTTTCAATCTGTGCAAGATGATCAAGAAAATATATCAATCAAATTACAGGCTTGGATATAAAAATGCAATTTTACAATAAGCCTAGTGAGGCGGGTAGGAAACGACTTTTCTATATTTCATGAATGTCTTTTAGATTTTTTAACATTTTAAGAGTCATTAGCTTTTGGACTTATACATTACGAATTAATAAGTAATCATTGATCATTTATAATTTTTTTCAAGAGATGTCCGTGTTGTTCAGTCAATACGGTTCTTTAATCAATTTTATTTAATCAAGTCATCGATTAGTGTCGACTGATTTTTTCGTGTTGATAAAATTATTATTACGTGATATAAACAGCAAGCTGTACAAATACTAATCAAATCCATAAAAAGAATTATTTCGAAACTTTAATGAACGAATTGAATTTATTCTTTAACGGTTTATTTTAATTAATGTAAAAACAAAACAACAAACCTTATTTTTTAATTTTTACTGAACTATTTTCAAAGTATTATTGTCCAAAATTTATTGAGTTTAATTTGTCACATATCATTTGTTATAAACTACTATTACTATTTGATTAAATGAGTAAAATTATTTATTACAGACTTTCCGGATTCATCTAATAAATTTTTTTTTGTTATTATTTAACATATGAACATAACAAATGAAGCAATATTGTTATTATTTACAAGCCATCCCTTAGAAATTTTCTTCACTTTCGAGCTAACAATATTAGATAATATGTATGCCAATATATTAGGAATCAATCCAGCTCTTTAAACTTAAAATAGTGACTTGAAGGCCTTTCGAGATTTCCGAGCTCAACAGTCTAGAAGTTATTTAAAGAAAATAGGTTTTTATTAATTTTAAATGCCTGCGGCATGAACACTTGGGGGAGTGCTTTACCATCGACTCAGATTTTGCATTGCGATATCTTTTAAGCAATTTCTTAGATTTTTACGCGACTTACTACATTCAATGCAGTTTTTTTTTAGCACAAAAAATATTATAGAAGTTGTTGGAGATAGTAATACTCACACTTACACTACTCATACTACATTAGTCGTCGATTGCAATGCTTTAATTTTCATGCCTGTTTGTTTTTCTGCGAAGCTTTTGTATGATTTGAAAGCTTCAAATAGCGCGTCCTTGCTCTTCAGGAAGTATATTACACACCAGCCATTGTAATCGTCGACGAAAGTTACGAAGTATCGGTTGCCTCCTTCTGACCTCTTTCTCGACGGTTGTCACAAATCAGTGTGTACGATATCGAGCAGCTTTCTGCTCCTTTCTGCTCTGCCCGTGAAAGGCTTTGTCCTCAAGAAAGGTCCAGGTCGAGAAAAACTCGACGAAAAATCCGTAGAAGGTAGACTCGTCAGATATTCAGAGAACTTGAAAGCTTTTATAATACGACGAAGTGATACTGGATAAATTGAATACACCAGGGACGTATAAATAATTAGGGAACCCATATTGAGATTACAAAACGTCGTACAGATAGATTTTGACTACATGCATCGAGAAGAAGACACTCCTGAGCCAGGGAGAGAAATCAGGAACGAGAAAGTCCACTCAGAGCCCAAAATGGGACCGCCGAAACGCGCAAAACAGAAGTCAGAGAAACCCGGAAGCCCGAAAAAGCTCTACCGATACGTAATCATGTTGAGTGCTGCTTCAAGTAATGCATCCAGTCACGAAGAAGATGTTGATGGACCAATGGAGCAAGAAGAAGCAGCTGGACCCGACGACGTGTTTTACCAGGTGAGCGAAGAAAATCGAGGCGAAAAAAGACCGCTCGACACATCACTAGTGCAAATCGACAAGCGAGCACGAAGTGAAACAGGTGCGAGTGGAGCTAAGACATCGACGAACGACGTCCAAGACCTGGAAAAAGACAATGAACCAATAGAGATCAAATTTATCGAAGAAATGGCTCACATGGCGGATGTCGAGCTAGAAGAAGCGACAAAAAGTGAACATGCACACGAATGAAAGCGTGCACCATTACTTCCGATGGCAACAAAAATGCTTAAGAACTTCGCGGAAGGCGATCAAGTTTGCCGATTGCGCAAATCAATATATGAACTGAAACAATCTGGAAAGAAGTGGTACGAACGCCTAAAAGCTGCACTCCAGAAGTTGGCATTGGAGCCAACAACATCAGATCCATGTCTGTTTCAATACAGACAAGATGAGAAAATAATATTAGTCGCCGTCTATCTAGACGATATTCTGGCCACGTCGAACGAAGAAAAATGGATCACAGATCTAAAACGGGGTCTCAACAGAGAGTTCGAAATCAAGGACTTCGGAAAATTTAAATACTGTCTAGGAATTGAAATCAAGCCAGGGACAGGCAGAGTAAGCTTGAATCAAAAAAAGTACGTCGAAGATCTATTGAAGAAATTCATCATGATTAATTGCAATACTCAGAGCATGCCGGCGAGCCCAACGTCGAAGTTGAGAGCTCGGATTGCTCATGTACCTATCAGTAGCAACGAGACCAGACATCGCGCACAGTGTAAGCGTGCTGAGTCAGTTTAACGAGCATCCGAATGAAGAGCATTGGGGAGCTGCAATGAGGCTACTTAGATACCTAAAAGGAAGTTGAAATTGGGACTTGTATATCGACAACCAATTGGACAAATCATAGGATATACCGACGCCAACTGGGAAAATGACCTCACTGATTCAAAGTCGTACACAGGGTACGCATTCATCCTGGGAGGACCTGCAATTAGCTAAAAATCTAGAAAACAAAGAACAGTGCCATTGTCGACGACGGAGGCTGAGTATCAGGCCCTTACAAAAGCCACTAAAGAGTCAATGTACTTAAGAAGACTCATCTACGAATTAGGTATCCCACAATTCTCAGAGGGACAAATTTATTGCGATAATCAGGGTGCAATTACATTAACAACTGTCATTAATAACTGTCTGTTAATTTAAGAAAAAATCTAGTAATTTTTAACATGTGAAATTCTTAATTTATATTAGCTTACAAAATATTAAAATTAATATATATTTAGTAAAATTATTATACTGCAGAGTAATTTTAACATACTCAAGTTCTTTTTTTCGCTGATATACCAGATCGGTAATTTTAAAATCGACATGTATACGAAAAATGTATTAAATTTACAATTTTTTTTAACAGTGTATAGATCTCTCAAACACATTACTTCCGATGCTGTAGAGGATTTCATCTCATCTTATGACGTATCTGCTTTCGAAAATGAGCAGAATGTTGATTTGAAGCTTGCTAACTTCAACTCACTGTTCAATAATC